AGAATTCTTGTGTTCCTTGCAGGTTGTATTCCTAGCCAGTGCAACTCATGGGAAGCCACCACCACCTGTCAAGGGAGGCTTTTGTGCTGCATGTTGACAGGCTTATGCAAGTACTAGCCTAAGATGGACTAAAAGTTCTAGTGATCAACTTCCAAAAATCAGCCAGTTAAAATGTTATGGATCACGATGGTCTGATCTGTAACCAACTGTGGTAGTGTAGGACCCAGAAGCATTTTAATTTGTTGGATCTGGGGTCACCATGATTTGGGGTCAAGTTGCTCAAGATACGTGTTCAGTGTGTTTATTGAACCTACTCTGTGCAGGCTTTGTGGTGGGTACTGAGCACGCAGAAATGAGAGGGATAGACTCTGCCCAATGGCACCCAACCAGGTAGAAGAGACAGATAAACAGGCCACACAGGTAAAGAACAGAAACGTCAGTGGTGTGACATCTAGGAGCCCATGAAGCAAAAGGAACCAGACTTGAAACTCAAGTCTAAGGTGAGAAACATAGCCTCAGCCACTGGAGGTTTACAGCAGGGCAGTCATCCAGAAAGATACTTCTGGAGGATAGACAGAAGGGAGACCAGCAGAGAACCAAGCAGAAGCTGTGACAAGAACACCCCTGGGCAAGAGGGGCAGAAAGGACAAGCCCTTGGGCTGCAAGCTTAATGTGGGGTATAGGCCTGAAGAAATGGGAAACATAGAGGCTTGGGGAGGACCTGAGGAAAAGTGTAGGATCAGGTAGGAGCAAAGTGAGGAGAATGGAAGGGAGAAGTGAAAAGCCAATAAGAGGCCCCCTGCTTGGGGGAAGCCGGGAGTCAGAGACAGATGCCAAAATACTGTGGGAGGGAAAGGAGGGGCTGAGGAGGTCCAAGGGAAGGGGGCAAAAGAGAGCTGAGGCCTGCCTGGCTTGAGCTGGGGCAGACAGCAGAGAGCTGGCCACTGAAGGCTCTCTGCTCATGGCTCAAAAATGTCTCCGCCCTACCAGACTTCCTGGTTCCTGCTGCCTCCCCCAAGGCCCAGCCAAGTCCCATCAAGAGTTCTGAAGCTCCCCCTTGAGCGGCCTCCTCTTCCAGAACTCAAGCACACCCCCATCACCATTACCTCTAAGCCTCCAGCAACAAATGGCTAAGGAAACACAGGCTACAGGAGGGCAGGAAATGAGAGGACATGTGGGGGGAAGGGGCATCAGGAACCAGGGGTCAGGCTAGGACTAGCTGGGGTCGGGGTTAAGGGTGGGGATGGTAAGGGATCCAGGGCACTTTCTGAGCCAGCAGGCTGCTAAGCTCTAACAGGCCCTAATGAGACACAGGTGGTCCCTTGGCCCTGTCTCCACTCAGTGTAGGCTGATGCCAGTTGAGTGTCTGTCGTCCAGGGAGAAGAGGGGGCTCTGCAGACACAGGGCGGGGCTGGGAAGGCTGGCCAGAGCCCAGCACATAACTTCAGGCAGTTGCAGTCTGGGTTGCAGACGCCGAGCCGCCCTGCAGTGAACGGACATGATGACGGTACGGGCCCGGGGTGGAGGCCCCCATGGCACTGGGCTAGAGCTCACTCCAGGGGAGGAGAACCCTTAATTAACCAAGAGGGACTTGAAGAGCAAGGGGTTTCTTGCTCCAGGAGAGAAGCCTCAGTTATGAGTGTTCCAGTAAGAGTGGGTTACTTGGCTGGGGGAAGGTGGTCGAAGGGCAGGCAGAAGGTTTCAACAGGGTGGGATATGTGATGGGGGTAGATGCAAGGAAAGCTGGAGTCTCAGGCTTGAAGGCTGCAGTAAACTTGCCCTCCCCTCACAGGTCCTCCTGACCCTGCCGCTGCTGTTGCTTCTCTCCACCACTCACTGCGTCCCCCAAGCCTCTGGGATCCGGGGAGATGGTAAGCAGTCCCATATTATTCAAACAAGTGCAGGACAATGAGATGCTGTTCTGAGCCAGCATTCCTGGAGACTGGGTCTCATGTTGGACCCCAACTTCCCAGGATTCTATTCTCTTCTCTCTAAAATGGGGCAAGTAAGATGAAAGGATGTTTGAGGGTCCCCTGCTTCTTGCCATTTCTTGTAAGTAGCTCACCCCACGTGACCGAGGCAGATCACTGAATTCTGAGCAGTCTATAAGCCCTAGTCCCTCTCCCCTCACTATTTCCATTGCACCCATGCCAGCTCTAGAGAAGTCCTGCCTTCAGCAACCCCTGGACTGTGATGACATCTACGCCCTGGGATACCAAGAAGATGGTGTGTACCTGATCTACCCCTCTGGCCCCAGTGTACCTGTGCCTGTCTTCTGTGACATGACCACCGAGGGTGGAAAGTGGACAGTAAGTAGGGGAATGAGGGGGTTGCGCCCATGTAGCTGGTTCTAACAAACCTCCTATTAGTCACAACCGTGTGATTCTGAGCATTCCCTGAGCCTCATTCTCTTTAACTAAAATGGTAGGAAGTTTGCAAGCTGCAGCATGCCATAGAGTTGCTTTCGACTCCTAGAGTCCCTGTATAGCGTTTCAGAGGCTGTAAATCTTAATTGAAGTAAAAAGCTACTTAACACAAATTGAATACTGAAGGTGGGTTAATACAGTTAAATCCTTCAAATAACCCTGAGGAGGAGGCTCAGAAAGGTTAAGTAACATGCCCAAGTCCACACAGCCAATACCAAGGTTCACACCCAGGCATCTGAACTCTTAAATGTACCCCTTTAAACCCCTGCCCTTCTGGCTTTCATGAGAGTGAATGGAAGGAGCCTGGCTACATATAGCACTCAGTAGCTACTTCACAGTGGCCTCAACATTACCGAGTCCATGGCCAGGGCAAAGCGAGACCCTGTCCACTGGACCCATCACTGGTCCAGTTCCCTGCCCTATCTGCTCTAGGTTTTCCAGAAGCGATTCAATGGTTCAGTGAGTTTCTTCCGGGGCTGGAACGACTATAAGCTGGGCTTCGGTCGTGCAGATGGCGAGTACTGGCTGGGTAAGCTAGGGACAGGCCACTAGGGGAGAATGGAGGACACGTCCCAGAGCCAGGCTGACCAACTACCACCTCCCCACTCAGGGCTACAGAACCTCCACCTCCTGACGCTGAAGCAGAAGTATGAGCTGCGTGTGGACTTGGAGGACTTTGAAAACAACACAGCCTTTGCTAAGTACACCGACTTCTCCATCTCACCCAATGCAGTCAGTGCTGAGGAGGATGGCTATAGTCTTTATGTGGCAGGCTTTGAGGATGGCGGAGCAGGTATCACCCTCCTATAAGCCTAAGAAGGGGCAAGAGGAGGGGGCAGACAGGGGCTAGCACTGTGCCTTTCAGATCCCTCCTTCACTCCCCTGGGCTTGGGGCCACAGCTGACTCCCAACCAGTCTTAGCCTCAGCCCTGGGGAGAAGTAGGTTTGGCTTTGCTCCAGGGTCCCTGCAGAAGAGCAGCTGTTTCTCTTCACTGCAGAAGCATGCCTACCCAGACTCTGGCTCAGGGAGGTGCCAAGTAATGTCTCCAACAATGTCTCACATTATTGCTGGAACCCCTCTCCCTAGCAGTTTAGGGCTCAGCTCTTGCCTCAGCAACTTCATCCCTCCTCCCCTCTACAGGTGATTCCCTGTCCTACCACAGCGGGCAGAAGTTCTCCACCTTTGACAGGGACCAGGACCTCTTTGTGCAGAACTGTGCAGCCCTCTCCTCAGGGGCCTTCTGGTTCCGCAGTTGTCACTTTGCCAACCTCAACGGCTTCTACCTGGGTGGTGCCCACCTGTCCTATGCCAATGGCATCAACTGGGCCCAGTGGAAGGGCTTCTACTACTCCCTGAAGCGCACGGAGATGAAAATCCGCCGCACTTGAGGGTTGGGCTCTCACAGACCCCCCCAGCCCTCCCTCTGCCACTGTGGGCCTCATAAGTGCTCCCTCTAGCCCCATCTCCTAAACCCCTCACCATGATGATTATTCTGCCCCTAGCACCAGCTTCTTCCAAGGCGTTGTGGCCCTGCACCATGCTGATCCCCTCCCACACTCAGTCTCTAATACAGGCCTCTGCTCCTCTACCTTCAGACTACAAAGTTAGCAGCTTCCTAAGCCTTTTCTAAGGCCCAGCCAAGGCCTAGCATGGCTCCATCCAATTCATAGGTACCTCTGCCCTGTCCCAATAGCTAAGAGCTACAAGTTATTCTCCAGACCGCAGGAATTTGTGTTCATCCTCAGTACTTCCTTACTGAGGATTCCAGTATCTGAGAGCCAGGCTGTGCTGGGCCAGTTCCACGATGTGCATCAGGTCACCTGTGCGTGGCCACCACTACCACATCCAAGAAGCTCTCTGGCTGTTCTAGGAATATCTTCTCTCGCTGGTATCCTATATCCACCTTAACACCAGTGAGCACCATGGACGCCAACTCCAACTCATTCTCATACTCAGCTTCCCCCACCTGTTGATCCCAGCCCCAAAAGCTCAATACCAAAACTATTTCACCAGGTACTGGATGCTACCCTGAAACAGCACCCATTAGGTAGGCAGAAATATGAGGTGCCCTGCCCCAGCGCAGGCTGAGATTTGGTAATGCCAGAAAGCAGAAACGACCTCTGTGGGGATGGAAGATGGGTGCACGACTCAATAAACCTGTAGGACCTAAAGAAACTGGCTTTGGCTATTGTGCTGTCAAGTACATTGGCTTACCGGGACCAGCCCCTAATGCCAAAAATGACATCTACAGTCAGATGGTGAAGAGATCCTTGTATTTCACAGGCCTCGTTTGGGTGACAAAATATATATATATATATATATATATACATATATGTATAGTAAAAATGATAAAATATTGAAAAGATCACTTGGGGCAGTAGGAGTGGCCCAGAACTGCCATGGCTCAGTGTTGGCTCAGAAGTTGCTTAAGGCTGCATTGTGAGTCTGAGATGAACTGGCAGAATCTAAGCTGCTGAGCCTCACCTGCTGGCCCAGGGCTCCAGCCCTTTGGAATGTTCCCAGGAGCCCAGAGCTTGATCCATCCCCTGGTGGCTAGCCACAGGCTTGGGGCCTCAAGGCTCCTGGAGGTCAGGAAGGTCAGCCAGCAGCATCGGGGAGTCCATCTGGATCTCACGTTGCAGTGACTCGATGTCAGAGGGGTTCATGCCATGACCCTCTAGCCAGTCAGCAAGCAGGGAGGCTGACAGAGAGGCTGAGTCCGCCTGGCTACAGAGAAGGGAGCAGACAAGGAACCGTCATTATAAAGTAGTTCCTTCCCTATCCCTTGGGGCAGTGCCTCCTGTATCAGAGTTCCCTCTCCACAGCTCCCTCCCAGGAGCTCAGTCCAATCATCCCTGCCCTTACCCATCCTGGGGTCCATCTGCCATGCCCATGTCAAAAGACTGGTTCAAGAACTCCTCCAGGTCAAAGCCAACACCATAGCCAGCTCCACTGCCCTTTGGAGTGCCTGAGAACACAGGGGGTAGAGGATCCTCCACCTGCGGGGAATAACAGTAGGGTTCTGATGCAGGCTCTACAAGAACAGACTACACGTGTATCTAGCAATCCCACAAGAGAGAATATCAGTTTTGATAAGCACTGGGCTGGCTGGATGCCCAGCTCTAGGCACAGCACTTCCCTAGCAGTGTCTTATTCATCTCACAACCACTGGTGCTTAGGCACCGTGCTCCCTGGATAAAAGGGATAAGCCTAGGGAGATAGAGCCCTTTCTCATAATTTTCATGAAAACTAAGTCATACCAAAGCCTCCTCCTGCCACCTGCCCACACCAAACAGAACCCATTTCCCCTGGGCCAGCACCTGGGCCTCTCCTCTCACCTGCGACTTGGACAGTTGCTGGGTTACCAGGTTGACATCAGGTGACTCTGAGGTGGATAGTTGAGGGACCCCCCCAGGATCTAAAGGGGGTGGGCCAGATGATGGGAAGTAAGGCAGGACTCCCAAGGTGCTGTGGCCAGGTAGCCCAGGGGGTGGCACAAGCAGCTGAGGAGCCAGGAGGCTAGAAGTGGACTGCAGTAAAGCAGGGCCAGGGATGGGTTCAGAAGGGCCAGTGGGGTGCGAAGTAGGCTCAGGGGGTGGGCAGGCAGGCTGGAGTACAGGACCAGGAACAGAGTCTGCAAGTTGAGGTGGGGGATCAATGGGCTGGGCTACAGGGCCAGTGGCAGAACTGGCAGGCTGGGCTGGAGGCCGAGCCATGCGAGTCCAACGCTCCAGCAGGCTGCGATCATTATCACTGAGCACCAGCCCGGCCAGAGGATCAGTGGAGGGAGCACCAGTAGCCCCAGCTCCCCGCTCCTTTCGTTCCCGCTCCTGCCGCCGCTTCTCCCGCTCTTTGGCCCGCTCCTGCCGTCGTCGCCTCTTTTCCTCCCGCTCCCGCTGTCGCTCCTGAGCCGTCACTGGTTTCCGAGGCTCAGGGACCTCCAGAGAGACACTAGGGCCATCTACAACGAAGTCAGGTGGAGAAGGTAAGAGCATATACATCCCAATTGAAGCTTGGAATCTCACTTCCACCCCACTCCCGCAAGTCACTCCACCCACAAGACACCTTTGAGTCGATTCCGCAGGGACTTCAGGAGAGCGGCTTTCAGGGCTGCCTTGGTATTGTCTGAGATAGCACCCTCTCTCTTTGGAGGGACCAGCTCACTGGCAGGCAAGGATGGATGGACAGTCAGATCAATGGTGTTGGGTACAGAGCATGATGGTGGAGCTGGTGGAGGTGACTCCATGGCACAGTCCCCACCAGGTGCCCAAGGACTGGGCATCTCAATGTCAGAACAGCCAGGCTCACTGGCTACAGGCTGCAGGGAAGGCTGGAAGCGGATCTGCTGGCGGATGCCCTCACGCCGGGCATGGAAGTCCTCAATCTCAGCCACTATAGCCTCCTTAATGCGCTCCCGAGTGAGGGCTTCACGGTCAAAGGCAAAGTCAAAGGGTGGGGCACAATCAGGCTCATCATCAGGGTCATGGTACTTGGCTAGAAAGGGGTGTCGCAGGGCAGCAGCTGCTGAGATGCGGGAACCCGGCTCGAAACGCAGCATGCGGCCCAAGAGTGAGAGGGCCTGACGATCAGCTCCTGGGTACACCGTCTCCCAGGGCAGAGGCTGGCGCGGTGGCAGACTCTGGATATAAGCCCGTACTCTCTCAGCCCCTACAGCCTGAATCACAGCTGGTGATGGAGTACCTAGCACCATCATGATCAACTGTAGCTGGTGCACGTAATTTTTACCCGGAAAGAGCTGGCGTCGGGCCAACATCTCACCAAAAATGCAGCCTACAGACCACAGGTCAATAGCCTGTGTGTACTCATGCAACGAGAGCATGAGCTCAGGGGCTCGGTACCAGCGTGTGGCCACATACTCAGTCATGAAGTACTGGTGTTCAGCAGGTGATGTGCAGAGTCCACGGGCCATGCCAAAGTCCCCAATCTTGAGCTCACAGTTCTCATTCACTAACAAGTTTGAGGGTTTGAGGTCACGGTGGATGACCTGAGCTGAGTGCATGTACTTGAGGCCTCGAAGCAGCTGGTAAAGGAAGTAGCGCACATGCTCCAAAGTGAGTGGCTGTGAAGAGTGGATAATCTGGTGCAGGTCACTCTCCATCAGGTCCAGGACCACATAACTACAAGAGTTGGAGAGAGGCATGAGCTAGCCCTCCCACACTCCAAGGACTAGGCCCAGCCTCACTGCTCTGTCCTGACTCCAGACAGGTACTGACCTTTCCCCGCACCCGAAGGCATGGAATGGAGGAGGACCACAGGTTCAAGCTTCTCTACAACACTACCATCAACTTGTTTAAATCCCTTTTCTCTTCAAACCTAGTTTCCCCATCAGGTAAAAGATAGATTTGGACTAAACCATTGCTAGTCAACAGGTCTAGTTTAGGTGTTATCTACATTGTTTGGTAATAGCTGCTTGAAGAACTATGATGAGCATTAGAAAGGCATATCCATATTCTGTCGGAAAGTGTTCTGTGATTGATTAGCAATGTCTGCCAAGGGAACAGCATGAGCCATGATATTAAGAACGTCATGCTGTCTGCTATCCTTGATGAAATGTGAGATTCTATAATGTTGTAATGTTTATACTCTTTCCAAAGACTAATAGCTATCCTGGCAACTCCACAAAGCAGCACTTCACCAGCCCTCGAAAAGGTCCCAACTGTGCATCCCTCTCCCAATTCTTCTCCTTACACAGATTTGAACTCGCCATAGGGCACCATGGGCCTCAGGATGTCCTTAATGGCAATGATGTTGTCATGCTTGAAGTGTTTAAGGATCTTCAGCTCCCGGAGGGTTCGCTTGGCATTGGTCACCACATCAAAGGCATTAGGGATCTTCTTGATGGCCACCTGCTGACCTGGAAGCAGGGAAAAGGCAAGAAAGGACCAGATGATGAGGGTACAAATGACAACAGCTGCTACCAAGTCCTGTGCTAAGCAACTTACAAACATTATCAATTTAACCTTCACAATTACTTTATAAGGTAGGTTGTACAGCCAGTTAATGTTAGCATTAAGACTCTAAAGCCCACACTCAATCTACCTTCCTAAAGGCTCTATCTCAAACTTCTCTATCCTCCCACCACCAGTCTCTAGTGCAGAATACATTTCCTTCCTAGGGACCAAGGACATTCTCTCTGGCTATGAGACAGAAAGTAGAATGGTGTGATGGCAAAACCACAATACCAAAGTTTCAGAGAACGGTGCCTAACATGGAACCTGACTCACATATGACATCTAATCAGATTTGTTGAATTGAACCAGAATTCACATTTCAGCTTTCCTTCCTATTTATGTGAGCCTGGGCAAGTTACTTCCTCTCTCTGGGATCCAAAGACTGAATCTGTGAGAGGTAGATGACATTCCTGTCCAAGAAAATGATAAAAAGTGGGGGAAGAATGGTAGAAGGAACAGGGGCTCCTTGCCTCGGAACTCGGCTCACCAGTGTGGCGGCGGCGAGCAGAAGACACCACCCCATAGGCCCCATTGCCTATGGTCTCGATGATCTCATACTCGTCGCCTACGTCAAAGGTGACATCAAAGGAGCGGGCTTTAAGCAGAGCGAGGTTCTTGGCGGTCACCGAGGCTGCAGGATTGGCAGACTCCACCTTCACCTGCCCTGGGGGCTCCCCGGAACCATCTTCACCACCATCCTCTTTTAGGGGCTCAGCCATGGCATCTGTATGATCACGTGTGTGAAGACGGGACTACTCCCCGGCCTCAGTTTCCTCTCTGCGGATGCAGGATGCAGGACATTTCCAACTCCCCTAGGCAGATGGGGCTAGATAGGAGGCGAAAGGCACGTGGCAGGAATGCAGCTCACGCGAGCGGGGCTTAGGGTCAAGGTGTATACCCAGAGTAGGCGCTGGGGGAGAGGTCGCGCAAGCAGACAGCAGAGAAGGGGCGGAGCACTTTGGGTTTTCTCACGTTTACACTCACCAAATGAAGCCAATCTTCTCCCGACGCCGTCTCAGGGCATTTGGGGGGTCCCAGAGCTTCCTGACCTCTCGTCCCCAGTAGAGTCGCTCACTTACCTATTCAAGGGCCACAGCCACCACCATAGCGTCCAGCTCTGCACTACCAGTCCCCCGAACCGCCCTCAAGACCACGGGCCATCCAGTCTCTAACCAATCGCTGGTCAGCCTCTACGAAGGTCCCACCCTTTCTGATTGTTACGTCCAATCCGAAACCGCCGGTGGCGAAGGCCACGCATCCTCGCTGAGCGTCCGCGTGTCGCAGACCAGCGCGCCGGCGGGAGCCGCCCAGAGGCTACTTAGGCGCTGGAGTGCGTAAGCGCCTGGTGGGGCACTGCCCTCCCTTGCTATCATTTGGGTGACTAAAAGACCCCTCCCCCGTAACGTACGACGTACTGTGACGCATGCGCCCTGGAGGCCGAGGTTTACGAGACTGGAAGACCGCGCCCTTGTACGTACAAACGCATTCTAATCCGTCAGCCAATTAACTGAGCTGAACCTAAGGTTTGGAGGTAGCAGTTTGAGGTGCTTGCAACTGCCACTTTGGCAACCAGTACCTGAGATAGGCCCTCTTTGAGGTCCCTCTTCACTTAATAACCCTCATAGACCAGGGTTTTGCAGTCCCCATTTTCTGGGCCCCTGCTGCTGGTACAGGAAAACTGTTGACGTCCAACCACACAGGTCCTGGCATTCCAGAATTCTAGAGCGTTCCAACTGGAGCCGCCACTTACTTTAAGCGGAGTCCTGGACCTCAGCGCGTCACTACTGTTTTCCCACATGCCTCTGCAGTGATTTGCGGCTCCGGAGCTGAGGGAGCTCAGGCAGTCACGCTGTCTAGCCATTGCCCTTCCACAGAGCCTGAGGGTCATCTAACCCAGGAGAAGGCACAGTCTAGTTTAGAACGCATGTGCTCTGAGCCATCCCAGGCCCTGTTGTTCATGCACTCAAGCTTATATTAAAAAGAAAAGAAAAAAGACTCGTTACCATTGAGTTGATTCCCACTCAGCGACTCTGTAGGACAGTTTTCAGAAGCAACTGGAGCTTGAGGTAGAGTTGTAAAGGAAGAAGTGGTGTTGGAGTCAGGTTTCTATCAAGTTGAGATGAGAATGAAAAGCACTGGGAACTGGGAGATAGGTGAACAAAGCTGGTGGAAGCAAAGAAATAGAAGAAGGCGTGCCTTCTGCAGGTTCTTCCTTTGCCCTGAATATGAATTAAAGAAGGGAACTCAGCAGCAGAGCCTTCGGGTCAGATGAAGGGTTATCCCTTAGGTGACAAAGAGACCAAATGACTAGATCCTGACCAAAAACTAATTTTGGTAGGTCTACACTTGGTTATGGACTCGTGGTGTAGTGCTGTGGGTTAATGCACCAGACTGCAAAGCCGTTTGAACTGCAAGGTCGGCTGTTCAACCTCACCAGCTGCTCTTTGGAAACACTATACATGGTCGCTGTTGGGTCGGAACCAACTCGATGGCACTTAACAACAACAACACTTGGTTATAGAGTCTTGGTGTGATGATGTAGAATAAGCACTGGACCGCAAGTGGGTTTGAACCGCAAGATTGGCGGTTCAAACTCACCAGCTGCTCTTTGGTTCGCTGAGTCGAAACCAACTCCATAGCACTTAAAGAACAACACTTGGTTATCCCAATGACCATTTTTGGGGGTCAGATATATGAACTAGATCCTTCTTCCTACTCTATTAATCTGGAAGCGTCACTGAAACCTATCTACCATGGGTGAACCTTCTAACGTTTGAAATACTCATGCCATAGCTTTTAGCATCGCAGCAACATGTAAGCCAACAAAATATGACAAACAGAATTTCAAGACTATCTCAAAAACTGATTTGACACACTGAACCCTAATGACCAAAGACCAGATGACATGAAAGACATCATACATGAAGAAACCAAAAGATCATTTTACAGGAAAGAAAAGACCAAAGTGGTTGTCAGAAGAGATTCTCAAACTTCCTCTTGAACACAGAGTAGCTAAATCAAACTGAAAAAATGCTGATGTGAAAGAGGTGAACAGACTTCAAAGGGTAGCTCAAGAAGACAAAGCATAATGAAATATGCAAAGACCTGACATTAGAAAACCAAAATTGAAGAAAATGCTCAGAATTTCTCAAGCTGATAGAAAATGTTCAGCTCTCAAGTTGCAATATTAAAGAATTGTATGGGGAAAACATTTGAACAACACAGAAAATATTGAATGATGTAGGAAGCATCAAAAGAAGATGGAAAAATGCACATAATCACTGTACCAAAAAAAAAAAAAAAATTGGTCAATGTTCATCCATTTCAGGAGGTGGCATATGATCAAGAACCAATGGAACTAAAGGAACTAAATTGAAGGGATTGGTGAAAAACAAGGCTCAAGAATTGATGCAATACCAATTGAGATGTTTCAGCAAACAGCTGGGTGCGTGCTCACTAGTCTAGGTCTAGCCCACTGACTGGAACAGATCCATAAGAGTGCTCTTTTCAAAGATATATGATCCAACAGAATGACGAAATCATTCAACAATATCATTAATATCACACACAAATATGTAAGTAAAATGTTGTTTAAGATCATTCAAAACAGTTGCAGTAATACATGGACAGGAAACTGCCAGAAACTGAAGTCTGATTCAGAGGAGGATATAGAATGAGGGAAATCATTGCTGATATCAGATGGATCTTGGCTGAAAACAATATAAGAAAGATGTTTACCTGTTTTATTGACTACGCAAAGCCATCCAACTGTGTGGGATCACAACAAATTACAGGTAACATTGCAAAGGATGGGTGTTCCAGAATACTTAATTGTGCTCATGTGAAACCTATACATAGACCAAGAAGCATTCATTCAAACATAGCTAGGGGATACCGTTGTTGTTAAGTGCCATCGAGTTGGTTCCAACTCCTAGTATAGGGTTCCAACTCCTAGTAATGCTCTATAGGGTTTCCTAGGAGTGGCTGGTGAGCTTGAACCACCGACTTTACGGTTCAAACAATCTTGCAGTCCAACACATTAACCCACAGCGCCACACCAGGACTCCTTATTCCATAGATTAAAATCAGAAAAAGTGTGTGTGAGGATTATATCCTTTCACCATATTTATTCGATCTTATGAGCAAATAATCCAAGCTGGACTATATGAAGACAAGCACAGTATCGGGATCAGAGGAAGGCTAATCAACCTGTAGAGTCCTGGTGTGGCACTGTAGGATAAGCACTCTACCATAAGGTTGGTTTTAACCACAAGGTTGGTGGTTCAAACTCACCAGCCACTCCTTAGAAACCCTATAGAGCATTACTACAAGTCAGAACCAACTACATGGCACTTACCAACAACAATATGCAAATAGCACAACCCTGTTTGTAATCAGTAACTTGAAACACTTATTGATGAAGATCAAAGCCTTCTGAATGGATTACACCTCAACAGAAAGAAAACAAAAATTTATAAAACTGGACCAATAAGCAACATGGTGATAAATGGAGAAAAGATTGAAGTTGTCTAGGATTTTATTTTACTTGAATCCACCATCAATACCCATAGAAGCAATAGTCATGAAATCAAATGACATACTGCATTGGACAAATCTGCTGCAAAAGAATGTACCCTTTGGTTGTTTAAATTGTTACATATTCTTGAGTGTTTTTGTATACATCTCCTCACCTCCCAAAAAAAGAAAAACAGAGGGAATGGAAACAAATGATGATGCACAGAAGAGATTGTAATCATTGCAATGAAATGATGGTGTAAAGCCATCATATTCTCCCATATAAACTGGATGGAAGAATAAGGTAGATAGGGGAACAGTTAGGTAAATTGGCATGGGCTAAATGGGATAGAAGTAAATAGTGATGTATGCTCAACCTTGGAACAACAGGGCTCTGTGATACAGGGATTAAGGCATAATCTGGGTAAAAAGAGGGAAAATAATGTTAGGATGCTCAACTATCTTATGAATATTGGTTTCCCTTGCCTACTATTGTAAAAATAGACACTCAAATGGGATAAAACGGAATATCTAGAAACATGATTACTGAAAGCTTGTAAGCTTGTAAGCTTGTAGCTTGTAAGCTAAAAGGGGTTTTAGCACTTGCCCAGTAAAATAGGCTTCTTGGGAGCCTTGGTAGTGTATAGGACCTTAGTTATAATCCTGAGCCCCATCCAGAACCTTCTGAGGTGGGACATTCCCACTTGAAAGGACAAGCAGACCAGCCTGGTGCATCTAGAGGAACAGAAGATACTTCTTGAAAGAAAGATCAGCAGGGAAAATCAAAATCAAAAACAAAAATGGCAGTCTGAATGGCTACTACAAGGACAAGCAAGTTGTTCACTGGAGAGCCATCAAGGCAAGCAATCAAGTCCCTTCAGGACAACTCCCCACCTCCCCAAGACTGAAATTCAGAGGGATCACATGAGCAGCCATGTAAGCTTGCTGGCGACTATATTGGTCTACTGGTAACTGGAAGTGAGAGAAAGGCAAGAATGAAGATGGGCTGTGCCTGACCACATTTCATAGACACCTATCAATCTGGAGATGAAAGAGAGAAGAGGAAGGGCTGGTTGGTCCAAAGTATGGTGAGACCCCAGGTCCCCTGAGCCCGTGGACAAGGACCTAGCCATGGAAGGCTAGAGCTGAGAGTGGAGTGTCCAGCTGATGTGAAGTGAGGGGAGACACACAAAAAGGCCCAAAC